GACGCGTTTGGACACCCGCCGGCGTCAACTGAAACGGCACCATTACTTCAGAGCACAGTGGCTGGAGAATGGTTTTAGGTATTTTGACCAATTTCTACTACTTGAAAGTAATGCCCCTTGTTCATGTTGACCACACCTCCAGCTGCATGTAAAATGTGTGTGGATCTGGAAAACAGGAGAGACATATTAGAACTCACAACAAAATCTACAATTGTAGCAAAATGTGTTTTTTTTGCTCTTTCAATGTGGCAAAAGAGTGTTTTTGGATTTATTGTTCTAACACGTTTTTGTGATTTAAGAATAAATTCACTCAAAGCACTACATGTGATGGTAGATGTCTTACTTTGCGTGTTTAGGGCTGTTTTTCCACATCACCCCCCCGCGCCAGTAGTGGCATGCAGCTCTTCTCTGTTTACAGTGAGATGCTTCCGTTTATACAAAACAGTAGAAAATGATTCACACTGCTGCTGTGCCAGAATCATGCTGTCATAGTTAGTGGTGTTAGGGTGGGTTCCTGTGGGATACAGAATGTGTACATGTGTGGGGGGGAGGGTGTCCTGGGGCATCTTAAGGGCAGATGACAAGGACATTAATTCCCTTCATGTGAGCGTAATGTGGGGGCGGTGTGTGGCTCAGTGGTTTAGGTTGCTGTGCTGGTGATTAGAAGGTCGCCAGTTCAAGTCTCATCCTTGGCAGAATAGTCTCATGGTGCTGCAGGACACCAGATGAATGACCGACCATGTGCTCAGACCCCAAGCTTTGCCCTTAACTTTGTGTGTGTGTGTATCAAAGGAAAGCAAGATGGGATATACAGAAAGAAGCATTTCAATGTATGTACTTCAGCAAATAAAACATTGCTTCATTAATTACTGATTGCTTGTTTCTCGCTGTCTGAGCATGCATTCCATGTTTTCAGTTTTCCTGTGACTTTCCCTTCATCTATTATGATCATCCCTCTTCACTGTTTCATCAAACCCATCCTTTCTCATCCTTGGGTCTCCTGGTTCTGTTCCCTGTCCCACCTGGACAGATAGTAAACAACAATTAAAGACATAGGTGACTGAGTAGCAGAGAACATCACAGCACACCGGGCGGAACCACAGATAGGATTTTTTTAAATGTTTAGATTCTCCATTTGTCTTCTTTGGACTGTTTGCATGAGGGTGACGGGGACAGTGCAGTAAGACGTGGAGACCTGGCTCAATTGTGTGTTTAACACCGTGTTCACGGTTGATGCGTCGAAGCGGCACAGATTATAGAGCACCTGGTTGGCGCAGCGTGATCAGTGACCCCCCTCCCCCCTCCCCACTGCTAATGTCCCCTCCAGCAGGAAAGGACTGATGACTGTGTTCAGCAGGCAGGTCTCACATGCCCAGGAACACAGCTGATTGGATGTTGTGCATGGTCCTTATGGGGGTCTTTGCAAGAATCCCACCACTTCAAAATCGTGCATAAATACGTGATGTAGTGATCATGGCTCGCTATTTAAGATATTTGGTCAGGGGTCACCGCAAAGGCGATTGTCTTTGCCCAAGGCGTGTTGCTGAGGTCAGCTGAAAGTCACGGTTTGCAGGCAGTGGGCATGCTGATCTGCCAGTTTCAGAAGGTCAAGAGAGACCTATGTCGCACTTCTGATACATAGCAAGTGGGACAGAGCTCAACAGCCCCAGCTGAACAGCGTGTATCAGGACGATTTGCATTCCTGTAAAATGAATTCATATCCCTCGGATGAAAACCCTGTACTGGAGAAGCGGTCGGGTGGTGCATGGATTCTCTTATAAATGCTGCGGTCCTAGTATGACTGTTATACAAATATGTTGCTATCAAAACAAGATTTTTGAGCATTCAAATTGTCTAGGGTCACAGCGAGCCTGGAGCCTATCCCAGAAGGCAGAGGGTGCCTGGACACAGCGTCAGTCTATCTGAAGTCACACCTCTTTGCAGCCTTAAAAAAAAACATAAGCCAGCCTCTGCACTGCAAACCTCCACACATCTGCGCTGACAGGCCCTTTCGTTAACCTTCAGCTGAGCTTGGAGCTGATCTCTCCGAGAGACAGAAGTTTCTGCTTCCAGACCTTCGCTTCGAAAACCCATTTCCTCTGCCATGGAGTCATCCCTATTCTGGATGTATGCATTTAATTCCTCAGCCTCGGGGAGCGAGCGGAATTAGGGGGCTGTCTCATTATTTCGTTCGGCTGAATGGATCGGCGCTTTTAACCACGACCCGGCTGACAGGGAATCACAGGGGCGTAAAGATGCCTGATACGAGGTGCCCCACGTGATATATGACACCTCTCCTGCAGCTACAGCGAGAGCAGTGAGGTTATTTAATCTGAGGCTGCCTTCCTGACCTGCACTATTATGGCCAAAATAACAAATAATGTTTCTCGCAATAGTTAGATGGACATATAAAACAAGAAGCTTATCTGGGTCAGCATTCGGTCAGATCATGCAGACTTGTGTCAAGGAAAGCAGGTGTATCAGCTTTTAAATTGCTCATTCTGGTTTATCCATCTATTTTCTGTACCTCCTTGTCCTATGCAGGGTTGTGAGGATCTTGAGTCTATCCTGGAAGCTGTGGGTGTTAAGCAGGGAATAACCCAGGACGGGCACCAACCCTTCACAGGGCACAAACACCGTTCACACTTATGGACAATTTGGCAACTCCAATTAATTTTAATATGAGAACCCAGAGGAAACCTCATGACAAGACAGGGAGAGCATGCAAACTCCACACACATGGAGCCAGGGTGGTAACTGGACTCCAGTGGTGTGAGACAACAATACTAACCACCCTACTGTACCACTAAACTGGGCTCATGTAGTTTAATATAAAAATATAATAAATAATAAAAGAAAACGGTACCACTTTACAATAAGGCTCCCTTTTGCCACTTGTAAATGATAGTAACTCAATAAAAAGAAAACTGTTATAACTTCTTTAAAATTGTCTATTAATAATTTACAAAATGTTACAACCTAATTAATAACCAGATTATAAACCATTCATAAATCCTTTATATGGGTAGCCTTATAAGTGGCACCAAGAAAAATATGTTTTAATTTATTTTGCTATATAGAGTCCAGGTCAAATGAGGAAAGTCATTTGTACATCAGACATGCACTAATTAATAAATATGAGTTGAATTAACTAATATAACACAATAAGAAGATCTGGCACCTCTGAATTAGACTTAGGCCTACAGCCCACACACTGAGTCTGGTCAAGATGTCACATTCAACATTTTGGTGTGTCTCTGTTACTAGTGCTGAAATAACGGCATGAATCAGCCAACCCTAAAGCATCTCATTAAAACCTTCTGCCAAAAGTTTTAAATTATTTAAAAACCTTCTGAGACGAGACAGCTTTCTGCATTTTCAATGTGAGAGCTCGTCTGAGGTAACCTCCTGCAGGTCAAGGTTGCTGAATTCCTAGAAAGTTTGTAGAGAGCTACATCATCCATGTATATTTACATCCAGTTGTTCAGATGAGCATTTTACACAAAGCAAAGTGCTCTTTCATGCCTTACTTCCACTTCGCTGCACCAGTTTGGCTTAAGTTCAGAGAGCTGAGGGCAGCATCACACCTCCAGGGTTGTGGATTCAGTACCTGACCCTTCCTGCGTATGCATGGGCAGAAACATGCAGCTCAGCTTACTGGCATCTCTAAAACTGACCATAGTGTGAGATTATGTGGGTGCGTGATTCCCAGTCAGGTTGTGCATTGCCTCAGTACTGTTATGCAAAATGAATAGAAAAATTCGGATTAATTAACTATCTTACGATAACAGTTACAGGTAACAAACCTGCCTCACGAACCACTGGGCAAATGACCACTTCATGCATTCTTCAATTTCTTGTGTACTGTGAGGATATGAAGGTGAAAATCTCCAATAAATCCATCCATCTGTAAAAATTTCTGCAGTTAAAACATAAGCTGCGTACACTCGATCGTGCTTTAAATTGTGTGGGCTCAGCGTTAAATAGCAATAACAGGTAAAAAGGTTAAGCTACCAACACATTATATGGTTTAACAGCGGGGTGCGCCAAGATTACCAAACCTAATTACTCGGTTATTTATAGCGGGACAGATCATCCGTTTGCCTAATCCCGGTCCATCTATCCCGGGCCTGTTTAAACCCATTACGAAGAAATCCTTCAAACGCTTCATTGAAGTTCAATACAGTGAATAACACCATATAAATTGAAGAGTTTCTCAGTCACTCCTGTCCGGTCGACGAAGCATGATTATTTGCGATATATGAACAATTTAATTACCTTTAATTAAATTTCCTCTATATGGTTTAAATGTCATCGTGTCCATAATGTTTATCCCAGCGAGTTAACGTGTGAAACGCCGATAGGCGGTGCATATATCTAAAGGCCGAACTGTAACAAGGACGCGTGGAGGAGAAAGTAAATCCTGGTGTTTGTAATTTTGCGCCGGCGAACATCCACAGCCCGTCGGTAACACGTACAGTCCGGACCATTGGTTCAGGAGGGGTGACGCGGGCCATCAGGACCTCACCAGCTGGTGATCCCCCGCCCCATTCCTGCGTGCTGAGCACCAGATCACGGATCGCCTGTCAGTCTGAATATAACGTGCAGTCCTCAGCGATGCTAGGCGATCGGATCGCCGCAGAGACAGCGGAGGAGAAGCCTGGGAAGGCACACTCCAGCCGTGCTGGAATGAAACCTTTTGGGGGAAGCGAGCAGCTCGCCCGCCGGCAGCCGCACCATAATAACAACAACATGCCCTTCGCCATCCACTGCCACATAGGAAAGGAGATCAAGCACATTTGCGGCAACTGCAGCCGCGGGACTGAGGCGCAGGATGGTGAGTCTTCAGCTGAGAGCAATCGGAGCGGAGCGGACCGCAGATGACCGACGTCCCGTTATGGTCGGTGGGTGTCCGCGCAGGGCGTGAACATGCGGCTTCGCACCGCGCGGATCCCCGTGGATCTATAGTATGTAGTGACATCGTCGCGTTTTACCTCATACTTGAATTTATTTGGATTTATTTCAACGACAAATCTCCGTAGCAGTGTTACAAAATAGCTAATCAAGCGTGGCCATAAACTGACACTGTATGGCAGCGCTGGGTCCCTGTCTTGTGGTTTTAAACCTGAACCAGAATTAAATCTGACATAAAACATAATGCGTAACCTCTCGGCAGCCCATGAACAGATTAAAATAATAATTTTTCAAAAAGCAGAAGATTGGACGTGCACGTTGCAGTTTTTGGATTGAAATAATTATGTGATCGAGCAAAAGTACCATATATTATTCCGATTGTATCAGTGTTGGCACAATAATTGCAAAATGATTTACACCATCTGACGGTTTTAGGGTAGGCTATAGGATATGGGACTAAAGAGCTTTTCCGTTTGAATCGTTGAGATGAGTGGACTTTTTGTTTCCTTCGGGAAATCTTTCAGTCACACAGTCCCACAGTAATGTGTTTACGTTTAAGCTGGTGGACATTTTTGGGTAACATGACGAATAAGTTAAAACAACGGCGTTTAGGGGTATTCGTCACCGAAGCTCACTGCCAAGTTAAAAGTAAGTGTCTGAGTATATGTCTGCATATATTTTTAAATATAAAAATTATAATATTGGTGAGCGCAAGTATCGGGACTGCTGTTAAGAGTTATAGAAAACTGCTTGACTGCTGTGTAACTGCGTCGTGTTAATCGAAGCAGTATGTAGGCTATTTCAAGGTGATAATTTGACCGAAAATGGATCCATAGTCATCTGATTTTTGTCTTTCTTTAACCTAGAGGTTCCATCCAGTTTTAGGCCCAAATCATGCAGCAACTGCCTATTTTTTTTGTTGGTGGAATGATTACGCTTCTGCACGATGCTTTGCTCCGGTAGATTCATGCTTTTCCCGCCGCCTTTGATAACATTTACATCCCGATCCCTGGCCTGGAATTCTGCTTGGACGCACATCTTAGGATCTATTCCAAACGGTCATTAAGGAATCTGTTGGATGAGAACAGTAGATATGGGGGATGTCCACTGTAAAATTGAAAAGGGGTCTACTTTGACCCAAAATGTAACATAAATCGCTTTAATCCCTGTCACTTTTAAATCAGAAAAAAAGATTGTCTTTAAAGACGGTGCCCAGGCCAGCGTTAATGACTGCAGTATATCCTAAATTTACTTTTACAGTTTAAAATGTATCTTCTTCAAGTCCTGTTGGTACTTTACTGCAGTGAAGGCAGACCGATACCAGCAAATCCCTCTGCCTCTCTAAAGCTCTTTGAATCGCCTTGCACCTGAATTGTGCTGTATAAATTAAACTTGCCCTGTCCTGCCTTTTCAGCTGAGGAAGTGGAAAGACTGGCGGCAATGCGCTCTGAGTCCCTCGTACCCGGGACCCACACTCCTCCCATCCGCAGAAGAAGCAAATTCGCCACCCTGGGGCGGCTCTTCAAGCCCTGGAAGTGGAGAAAGAAGAAGAGTGAGAAGTTCAAGCAGACCTCCGCAGGTAAGGCTCCATTCCCGACTTCGATCGTACTCTCCATCGTCATTTTCCTGTTCGTTACATAAGCGTTTCTCTCTATCCTGCCCTCCAAGGCTTCTGTTTCGTCTTAGCCGTTAGATCAATTAATCAACTGAATTTGAGTAATGAGTTCATTTATACTAATTTACAATTAAAATTTAGTGAGCAAAGCTGAAATTTAAAGTGTTTAGCTGGGTGTGGCTACCAGTCTGTCCCGTCAGGTGACCATTGACCCGCCCCCATTCCCAAGCCCTCTGCCTCCCCTCTGTATCAGTCACATGATACTAAGGGTATAATTGGGGCGGAGCTTCTGATGAGTGACCAATCGGCTCTGGGTGTTGATTACTGTACACTAGTGTACAGAGAAGCAGCCGACTGCTTTGATAAATCCGAAGAGGAAGTTTAGGGTAGCTGTGATATCCATACAAACTCTGTGTTTGGTTTCACTTACATCTTTGCTGACAGTCTCTGTTTTAAATTATAAAATCCCACATAGGTGCTTTGAAATATTAAATTGTAGGCCATGTTCTGTAAGATGTTTAGTTCAGATTTTTCTGACATTAGCCAAAAATTTATTGATGCCTGGCCTCAAACTCCTAGCCCCCCACTCTCACCTGATTGCTCTTATTACATGTTTACACCATCATTTCGATTTTGGGTTTGCGAAGGTCTGTCTGTTTTGACTGTGTCCCATTCAGATTGCCTGACGGTTCGTCCCTCTGCAATCTGGGTGTGTCTGGAGCATTTGTTACAGTGGTTATAACAGCCAGACTCTTGTTTCTGTATGAAACAAGCTTTTCTCCCACCAGGATGATCCAGCCATCTCTCTCCAGTGACAGCAACTGAAGTGAATTGTTCACTGATAGGATGGTTTATTGCTGCCGAAATATATTCTAAGAAAACCTCCATTTGTGTTCTCTGAGGGCATGACCTGGTCAGGTTGATGGCTTGTCTGTTTAGGTTGATGAGCCTTGTTGAATGGTTCCTCCTTTACTAGTTGCTTCTTGGTAACATTTTATGATTATATGTCTTGCAGTCTTTTCATGAAAATGGGGTGAAAGGTCGCTGACTGTTTTACATCCACAACTTCGGTCTTTCCTTTATGATGTAATTTCCTTAGTGATACAAAGCAACTGATGGCATAGAGAAAACAAGCAAACTGTGTCGATTTTATTATAAAACCAATTAGCTGTCTTGGTATATTTTGAGGATCAAATGAGACTCTATACGCTCAGTCTTTGACCGTGTCTGAGTTGTTACAAAGATCTCGGTGTCGTAAACACAGCTACATGACCAGACGGGGCACTGACCTGCATGACCTGACACGTGAACATGGACACAGAGATGCGTCCAGCTCTGGTCTTCCGTATTTCCCAAATGATCTTCTGCAGGCCTGCTCTGCATCCTGGTTGGTGTGATTCTGCAAAGACTTCAAGAAATATTTATTAAGGTGTTAGTAACAAGAATGGAGATTTATACAAAAAAAATCCAGATAGGGCTGCTGTAATCATCTTGTCTCATAAAAAGGTTTGGTTTTATTAAAGCCCAACTGATGAAGTACCTTCCCTTGAGTACAGTAATTAATGACGTCAATGAGCATTTAATGCTGTCTTTGAGTGCATTGGGAAAATTGCACATCGAAGTCAAGGCTCAGCTTATGGGCTTCTTCATTAAATGTCATTTTATTATCTTTTAAAATGAAAGCAATGGGCATTTTCTGGGTTGTAATGATGCACTGGATGCACCTTGGCTGAAGGTGAGTTCTACTCTACCTTGGGATTAGCTTTGGCTTTAAGATGCAGATTTTGGGCAGATGTTATGATACCCTGCAGGACCCAGCAGAAGAAGAGCCATGTGATTATGCCCCATCAAGGACAAAGGAGGGATTGAGCATAACACACACACACATGCTCATGCACAGCTTTCCTCTAATCTGCAAAGTCTGCGATTCCTGGGATCTGCATGACAGTGATGGAGAGTCACAACATCACTCCTCCTCCTATTTGCCAAGTCGCTTGTGGATATTTTTAAAAGGGTACAGCTGAAGCAGTCGCTGATCAGTTCATATGATCCTAGCGGCTAGCAGCTAGTCTGTTTTTATGGTTGTATATAGCATGTACAGTGGTACCTCGGTTCTCGAACTTAATCTGTTCCTGACTCCGGATCGAATCCTAAGAAGTTCGAGTTCTGATCGAATTTTTCCCATAAGAAATAATGGAAAACCAATTAATTGGTTCCCGCCCCCCTAAAATTACACCTAAATGTGTTTTTTTTTTTTTTTTTTTTTGAGCATTTAAACACAAAATGAACAGGATAAAACAAGAAGAGCATTTTTTTCTTAATGGCTTCCAAAACGATAAAGATCTTATCCAAACATTACCCCTGTCCTGCCCCGATCGTCCGCTCCTTCCGTGTGCCACGCCCCCTCGTTAACCTCGTGTGGGATCCCCATGTGACCAGCTGTTTCTGGTTGTTGTCATTAGTCCTCTGTATTAAGTCCATGTTTCAGTTTGTTTCCCCAGTCCGGTCATTGGGTGCGTTCGACTTGCTTACAGCGCTGGCTTAAAGCAACGCATTCTGATCCTGACGCAATGCATTACGGTTAGATGCATTGCGACCTCTCACCCGGCTGCACAAACTGGAACCACCTCCGTGACGACACACCGCCTTATTGGCTGAAGTGTTTAGTTACACGCATGACGTTTGTATCCCAGGCAGTTCCGATTGGCTGGGGGGAGTGGTGAACAGCTACCTTTTGTTGTTTATGTCTCCATTTCAGTTGGGCAGGGTAAACTTTCCACTTGCTGCCTTTCCATGCCATGAACTGTGCTCTGAAAAGTGTCTGGCTCCAAGCACAAATCTTAAACTTCCACAGTTGGGACTCTAATTCCCGGTTAATGCCGTTGGCGAGTGGCCGTCTGGTGAAGTAATACATTTGGCCCCGGTTCCGTCTCCCTTCAGTCGGCCCAATTCTATCCTCTCTATTTCGGGACATGATGGCGGAGCACTTGCACTCGACCCTCAAGCACCAATGTGCCGGACCAGCCCATTTTACCCAGCCTTTGTTTGATTTTTGTTACCAGTACCCCATGTGATGTCTCTTCTGTGGCATTTAATCACTTAAACGCTCTTTGTTTTGGACGAACACGTTTCTCAGACCAGTGCTGGTGAACCCAATAAGCAACATAGGCGGCTGCCCAGGCATCATCTTAAGCTGCGGCATAAATTTTCCTTTGTCTTCGATGGGGGCCACTAGCAATGAAGCTTTCCTGCAGTGCCACATGGGCTTCAACCGGCCCCATAAGAAATACATGATGATGTGCAGGGGCTGCAGATGGCGGCTGAAATGGTCGCCAGTGTAGCTAGATTTTGCGACTTCAGTATAATGGCTTGTTATCAATTGAGTAAATGTCACAAAATGTTGTGGTTGTTTGAATTTTTTTTAATGGTTAATTGTTGTTGACACACCACAGTGCGCAACAACGAAATGTGTTCTCTGCTGCTGTGGGCAGTGGTGGCTTGATGGTTAAGGAAGCGCACTTGTAATTGAAAGATTGCAGGTTCGAATCCCCAACCAGCAAGGCACCACTGAGGTACCTTGAGTAAGGTACCACCCCCAAGCACTGCTCCCCAGGTGCTGAATTAGCTGCCCCCTGCTATGTCACAAAAGTCACATATGGGTTAAATGCAGAGGACACAATTCGTTGTTGTGTGCTCTGGTGTGTTAACAGTGACCACTGATCACCAAATTCTTTCAAAAAAAAAAAACAAATTACCCCATTTGTGACATAGCAGGGGGCTGCTAATTCAGCACCCGGGGAGCAGTGCTTGGCGGTGGTACCTTGCTCAGGGTACCTCAGTGGTGCCTTGCTGGTCGGGGATTCAAACCTGCAATCTTTCAATTACAAGTGCACGTCCCTAACCATCAAGCCACCACTGCCCACTACTTTGTGTGAATGAAGCATGAATGTGTCCTGCTTGTTTTGTGGTGTATATTATTTGTTTGTGGGGTTTGGTCCCATTGTGCCTATATGGGTTAGTGTCTCAGTTTATACCCCAGTTTTGGTGGGAAATGATCCCGCTCAGGTACCGGAAAGCCATGGTGAACATCACCTCACCCGCTAACTTTTTGTCCGTGTCGTCCTTTACCTCCCCATCACCCCTGTGTTGCCGTCAGGGGGGAGTCATGTGCGGGGGCAGCAACTCGGATTCATGTTCTGGCACGGCTGCCCCCCCCCCCCCCCCGGCCCCTCCACCCTGGTCACATCTGGCAGTCTGGTTCACACACTCTGCTTTCAAACTGTTCCCCCAGCTGTCAAGGCATTTGGGTTTGAGTGCCCCCTGTCTGGGAGTTTGACTGTTAGGATCATTCACCACCTCCACCCGGGGGGTTCGGGGGGTCCAATCCCAAAACAGGGCCATGCCAAGACCTTTAGAGGGGCAGATGCTCAAATTTAAAAAGACGCACGTGGATCAAGATGTTGGAGTACCAACGACAACGTAGCTGGCTGAACCATAGCAGCTGATACTCAGCAAGAATGTAAAATGGAATGGAATAGGAGACTTTGGCATTCACCAAACTGTGTTATTGTAGTTATTATTTGAAGATTACACTCAGAGTTGCAGACTACTCTCGGGCTGCTGAATATTGCTATTTCTTGTCAGTTTCTGCTGGGGCTGTAAACAAACAGGAATGCATACCAGAAAGCACTGCTGTAAGGCTGTTCAGCCATGAATCTATATTGTATGTGATACATAATGCAGCCAATACAAAACAAAATAATACATTTTAGCTGTAGTATATTAAAATAAACAACAAAATAATACTCATAACAAATCTTTACTGGAGATTGAATGATGAATGTTTAATCCTCTAAACAATGACATATACAATTAAAACTGTAAATTAAAACTGCAAACTAAACTATGAAAGAAGACAATCTAATTCTAGTACATTAACAAGCAAAAGCTATTTCATGCTTATTTGTGTTCAGGTTCTTGAATTTATTTTTCTCAAATGCAAAAAATATATGGGCTATATAGGGGGTGGTGAGTGGCTCAGTGGACTAAGCCCCGCCCTCGGCAGAAGAGTCACATGTCCGTGGATCTTTGGCCAAGGCCCTTAACCCCCAGCTCCAGGGGTGCTACATTTTTTGTACAAAACAACAAAGAAGTGCATAAGTGTAGCTAGACTGAGCTTCCAATGAATGCCCAGGTACAAGTGTGAGTAGTTTTGGAGCAGGAGCTGCACAACCTCTACCAGCAAAGCAAAAACCTAATAAGACTATTCAATGACCAGAAGTGCAACATAAGAACATTAAGTGAATGTAAAGAGGCATCAAATTGGTAGAGAAATTCAAGGCACCGATGGGTCTTGATGTGTTTGAATGTGGTTCGGCAGCTCATTCCCCCACCAAGGAACCACACATGAGATCCATTTGGAGTGACACTTCTTGTGTGGTGGAGGCAGCACAGAGCAGTGTTGGTTTACTGACCAATGGGGGCGAGATGGAACATAGGTCTTTAGGAGCCTATTGGTAGATCACACAGATGGACGGGCACTGTTGGTGAAGCTTGCATAGGGCGCCACATGTGCTTCAACCTGCACGGTCTGAGTATTTGTTGATGTGTCTGATAAAAACATGGTCTGAGGGCAGAAGGAAAAATGATTGGTTCTCTCTCTGAACCAGTCAGATTGTAGAGGATGTTGGTCCAAGCAACTAGAGGAGGCGGGACCAAGACACCTGATTGGTTGGTCCCATCTCCTCCAGTTGCTTGGACCCACCTCCTCTACAATTTGACTGTTTATCTCTCTGTACCAATCGTTTTTCCTTCTGTCCTCAGAACATTTTTGTTTTAAGTAAAACTCCCATGAGTTGAATAAATAGAGGCAGTTACATGGACCTTGTCTGTGGAGAAGCTGATGTTCTATACTCTCCTCCTCTGTTTCTCTCGCAGCTCTGGAACGCAAGATATCCAGCAGGCAGAGCCGGGAGGAGCTGATCAAGCGTGGCGTGTTGAAAGAGATCTTTGAGAAAGGTGAGCCCCCATCTGGGACCCCCACTGAAGGTCTGCTCAGCTGGTCCACCCTAGCTGGGACCCCATGTTTAAACATCCGTTGGAATCCGATGTTTCTCTCTCAGGACAGGGATTTTATTTCTGTTTTCAGTATCTAAGACCTGCTGGATAGACTCTCATCAGCCTGGTCATTGTGACATCTCATTCAGAAAGCATGGTGGAGAAGCATCACTCTCACCATGCTTGGAGCATCTCATTAGCTTGGAGAGTAAGGACTTTCATGCAGGATGCATTTGGGGCTGCTTGGTTGAGTCTACACGTTCTGCAGCTGACTTTAGGGTCCAGAACAAGGCATGATTGGAACCTGCATTAGTGGCTGGGCTATGCAAGGTCTCTGCATATTCTGTACTGGCTCTGGATTCTAAATTGAGATGCAAGGGAATGGGCTGTAGAACCCACGTTTCAGTAGGAGTTGTTGGCCCCTGTTGGGTCAGGAGTGTCATGTGTCTTAGGACTGATTCATCATTTTTGGTAGCACCGTAAAAGGAAGATTGCTACTTGAGGAAAACGAGGAAGCCATTCCAGCTGTTCACACAGATGCGGTGTTTTATACATTTTCCATTTGAATGATTGTGCCGTGTACAAACCAGCTGAGAGCACTTGAAATGGCTCCGTAATCTTCCTTAGTTGAGCTTCTCATTATTCTAAAAAGGCCCCCGACTTCCCCCAGTGTGCCCCCCTCCCATGCCTGTGGAGACGCTTATAAAGTCGGCAGATACTTCCTAAATGTGGTCATGTGACTTCATCTGAAAGTGCCATGTGGCCGCGTTGAGTGTCCTATCAGATCAGTCTTCCACTTTACTGGTGTTACTGGGTTCACTCGGTGTGGTTTATTTGTCTTGCTTGACCTTCAGAATCTGGTTGCTCCCATATATCTTGGTGTTTCCTCCCTCTAGCCGTTTGCACAGTTTAGTAAACCCAACATAAATAATCAGAGTCCCCTTACTTAGCTTCAGCTAAGACCAGCACCTGACCGCGGTGAACGCAGCCCCTCCTTGCCTGAGGACGGCGTTTGGTTCCCCGGGAGGCGGCATGTCGTTCAGCAGGTTAGGACTTTGTGCCCATGATTGAAAGGTTGCCGGTTCAAATCCTCTGGTCAGCAGAATGATGTCACCGTTGAGCCCCTTAGCAAGGACCTTTACTCCCAGTTGCTCTAGGAACTGGCTGGTCCTGCTTTCTCAGAATCGTGTATGTCGCCTTGGATAAAAGCGACTGATAAATAAGAACAGGTAAAGGTTCTGTGGGCAGACAGTTAATCTCCATAGTGCTGAAACATGCACATAAAAACTTATGAAGGACTTTATACTTCCAGCACCTGACTGTGAAGGAATTGCCATGGTAACGTTTAGTTTTAGGTCCATGGCCACTGACTGCAGGCTTGTTTTCAGTACTCGTGTTAATAATAGTAATAACATTTATGCTTATTACCCCTCTGCTCTTTCTGCCGCATCAGACGGTACAATCCCCGTAACAAAGGAGGACGGGAAGTTAGAGAATGGGCAGTCACCCATAGCAACGGCCAGCCCGTTAGATTGCGACGCCTATCAGGTGCTGTCCTGCCCCGAGCTCATGGATGGCACGGGGACAGGTAAGTCCCGCTGAATCCGGGCCGCTGAAAGACAGGCTGGCTGAGTCGGACCTGAACGTACACGCCAGCGTCTCGTCTCTGTGTCTGTCCGTGTTTCTCTGTGTGAGTGTGTTCGCTGTCGTGCCCTGTCGGTCTGTGGGGGCGTGGTTTGGAGTCCTCCAATTTAAAAGAGCAGCATCATGCGGGGGGTGTGAGTGGACATGAAGTCTCATTTAACTACTTAAGATAAAAAAACAGAGTAACTAATGAATGTTATACCATGGCCTGTTCTTGAATTTGATTGGTCAGAGGGGTGTTGATTAAGTAGTGCCGGCCTTTAATTTTAACTGATATTACTTAAAATTGAAGTGGAAGAAAGTAGTTCTACAAATAAATTATTTTTTTGTTCTTAAAATTTGTGGTAACCATGATATAAGCAAGTTAACCCTTATTTCGAGAGCAGAGAAATTAGGAGACCCTGGTGGCCTTCTCCAGTGTGTGTGCGCGTATTTTACGGCTAATGTGTAATTAATGATGCTCTCACCATAACGTTCGCTCCATTTGGCTTGTGGCCAGTTCAGGAAGCAGGTATTTAATCTGTTAACTGAGAGCTGAGAGTCATAGCCAATCAGGATCCAGCTGCACCCCTCCTGCCACAGTCATAATTCTCTCCAGCTCGTGGTACCAAGGGCTCCTCCTCATGGGATAGCCGTGTATTGCAGTTGGTCTCGCACCCGCAGAATGGGAGGGGTCCTTATTTTGTACATTTCAGTGTAGTGTAATGCATGCTTAGGGGTTGCGAGACGGGATTGGCTGGCAGGTTTGTGGAGTGGGTGGCTGCGTTTGTAATGAAAAGCTAACATAAATTTTTATAAACTTAGCATTGCATGTGATTAATTTTTAATTTTCAGATCTGCTCCTGGGATTTTCAGGAATTTGTATGCTGTCAGCCTTGTGACAGCACTGGGTTTGTCTCTTGACGGACGCACAGATCACGTTGACACGTTTACGGATTCGTTCTCAGGGTTACATTTAATATTTGGCATTTTTCAGACTTTTCGCTCAGCCACTGTTTCCCTCTTGCTTAAAAATACGTGTGTGTGTGTGCGTGTGTGTGTGTGTGTGCGTGTGTGCGCACGCACACGTGTCTTGAATGCTCATTACGCTTCTCCCCCATAATACATGCACTCCATATCACCTCCACCAATAAGACTGCTTGTCCTAGTCTCTGTGGGAGCCATTTTAAAGAGGCTTCCAGTAGCGTCTCATACTAACCTCCTTCTCCTCTCACTGCAGTCTCCGTGGAGTACCAGATGTCGGCCAAGATGGGCACCTGTCCGCTGGACCACACTGGGAAGTCATCCGTACTTCTCGCCGGACCCAAGAAAACCGCTTCCTTTCCTGGTGATGGCCAGGACACGCCCATCAAGCAGGCCCCCTTTGCCAAGCAGCCCCCGGCCCTCCCCCCGAAGCCCTTTGCAAGGTTGCCCAATCACATTGCTGGTAAGTCCCTCGGCTCCACCTCATTGGTTGGAAGGAGGGGTGTGTCCGAAGGTGAAAGTACTTTTTCTAGCCCGGAAGGCAGACCAGCTTGCTTATACAATTCCCAGTGTCCATGTCTAATTACTGATGGAAAATCACTTTTGCACTTGCCTCTTTGTTCAGTATCCATTTGTTCCCGATATGAGAGTTCATCCAATTTTGTGGTACTGTGGTAATACAGCCAAGAGGCAGCGGCAGTGCCGGGAGGGTCTGGCAGATGGCTACTTAAAGGAGCTTCTGGCTGAGTCGCTACTCACCCCAAAGCCGCTCTGTCAGTGTCTTCTAAACTTTGACGGCCACCCCCGATCTGCGCATAAGCTAACGCTGACTTCAGGTCAAGCACCAGAGGGCCTTCTGCCTGAATTTTGACGATGTCGCATGTCGTCTGTTCCTGAAATCCGTCAGTGTCTCGAAGCACACTGATTGGCACAAACCTCACGGTTTTCATGGCCAGCGCTCTCATTAAAATATAATAAACACTGCTGGCCCAACTGTTTTCGGGGGCCCTAAGCAAAATTTGAATTGGGGCCCTGATCAGATGGGGGTGGCCCAGGTGGCCGCTGGGCCCTAAGAACCCACTTAATTTGCTTATGCCTTGGGCCGGCCGTGATAATTAGGATTGTGATTAATAGGTTGAGGATGATGAAATATTGCACATCAGAGAGCTTAACCCCACTCCCTCCACCCCCACAGACCCAGGTCAGCCCATAAAGATGCCCTGCATGGTGGGCAGGTTCTCCCCTCCTCTGCCCCCCAAGAAGGTGGTGATCTGCGCCCCTCCAGGGGGTTTGGAGCCCCTGCTCCCCGCCTTCCCTCAGAAGTGCCCCTCAGCGCAGCCCCTGGGCACCCACCATGGCGGCCTGCTGCCTTCTTCGGCGGTGCTTCAGTACAGCACGCTGCCCCTCCCCGTGCACCCGCCCAGCCGCATCATCGAGGAGCTCAACAAGACGCTGGCACTGACCATGCAGCGGCTGGAGAGGTGGGTCTGCGTGCGTGTGCGTGTGCGCGTGTGTGTGTGTGCGTGCGTGCGTGCGTGCGTGCGTGCGTGCGTGTGTGTGTGTGTGTGTGTGTGTGCGCGTGATAGACACTGTATCAGAGTGTGTGAACGACAGAGACCCCATGAAGATGCTAGTTAAAATAGTGCTGTGCCAAAAAACAACTAATTTTAATTTCACTAAGGAGACAAGATCTCACACACTTCCTCGTTCACTAGTTCTTGGTATTTTGTTGGGTTAGGGTTTTAGCCTTTGCATTAAAGTGAGTGTGAGCAGGTGTGTTGAACACGTATGATGGTGGATCGTTGAATATGAGTATGATGTGATATGTGTGCTGGCATCCCAGCACTAAAGAAGAAACTGTCCCCTCTCCCTGAGACATTATGCTTTGTAAGTGATTAAATTCAGCATCTTTTAGATCCGTGCTGTGCACATCACTGCCTGTATGTGGTGATTTCTCGCAGTTCACAGTATGTGGAATATAGCACCTTTTCATATCTCCAGCTGTTCGTGGGACACACAGGAGAAGTTTGGAAATGGGCTGGGCCAGTGGGGGGGTTAGTTACCAGAGTGTCCCTAAGTGACCTCTGGCCTTGCACTCGTCACAGCTCACTGACCGGTCCCTCTCCAGCACCGGCCGCCCTCCTGGCTCGGACCAAGATTCCTGCCTTCTGCTCTGATTGGATCGGTGCCTTTCTTTTTCTGAGGACCCCTTCCTGCAGCCCCCACCCCCCCCCCAGCCATATGGGTTAACAGCTGGTGGGTCTGGCACCGCTGACCTGAGAAATCCTGTCACACCGGTTTAGTTAAATGCCACTGCAGCCACGTACCTCTAAGGAAGGCAGAAGACTTTCTTTAAGAAAAACCATAAACATTTTCCTACTTGCTTTCCTGGCTGAGAGCAAAACTAGTAATTTGCGAGGTTCTGCAGAGTGTCGAAGGAACCTGCTGGTTTAAGATCAGTAAAAATTGAGTTTAACGTTCAAAGTTATTTCCCTGGTTAAAAGAGAGGCTTTATCACAAAATTGCGAGATGCCGCCCTTTTGCACTGGTGCCCACATCCCGTACTGCTGGTTGAGGGACTGAACCAGGCTTTTCTAGATTTAGATTCTAATGCAGAGTTTCCTGTTGTACCTTTTAAGAAAGTGTAACTTCCTCTGTGAATTTCAGGCATGCTGTTGTGTTTTGTGGATTGCTTATTTTTGGTGAACAGAAGGTCTGTTAAAATAATAAGTCAGCTGGTAGATACTGGTGAGTTTGACGGCATGGTGATGTCTTCACGATGACGCACGCCGCCTTGTGATTCCGCATTACCCCTCCCCCAGCAGGGGGTGGGGTTTTTTGCCCCCTCTGTCGCTCAGCTGAAGTTCCATTTCGTCTGTGGTTTGTGGGTTCTCCGATGCCTTTACCTTAACCCCGCCACCCCCCAGTCCTCCTGCAGCTATCGGAGCAGGGGGGGCAGCAGTAACACAGCAGATTCTGCGACCACTGCAAAGAGCCTTTCCTTGTGAAAGTGAGCTCATGTCTGTAAAGAGTTCCTCTCAGGCTTAAAGGTCCATCAGCTTGGTGCCCTGGAAGCTTTGACAGCCAGGCTTTTCCCTCTGGGTTAATTTTCCTGAGGCATTATTTTTTAAACCAAATTGTAGTGTTGCCCTTTATAGGATTTGAACACGTGACCCTCCCCTTTAAAAGTCAACTGCTGATACGATCACCCCATTTGTCACTTCTAAATATACATAAAGAGAGGAGGTGGATTCCTGTCTTGTATTTCTCGCGTATTTAATGTTTAAAATGTCAGCATTGGTGGCTTTTATTTACTGATTGTCCCATTAGATGCTTATGGTGTCTCATTGTGAAATACAGTTCTGTACAAAAGTCTTGGGCAGTCAAAGAAAATAATGTTAAAATCATTTACGCGTTGGTGGAAAATTATGATGATATATCTGTCAAAGTGTGTCGGCTTAGTCATTTCAAAACCTCTCCTAAAGTCCCCCAGTACTCCAGCAACCATCCAGCAACACCCATGTGTTTATTTTTGACTCGACCACTAGCCCACCTAGTTTGGTTAATCAATCCATTGCATTAAAGTAATTAGGTTAATCGATTTTTATTGAACTGGTGGTGAAATTATAAAAAAAATAAAAAATATGGTGGTGAAACAAATATGTGGAATGACTGTGGTGCTCCTGAGGTTTGGGGACTGAGGTGCTTTCATCTAGCCATCCAACAAGATATCAGTAACTTTTTGGGTAACGGAAGATATTCTGGTTTATTTTTTATTGCATTACTGTTAATTTGCAAAGATTCTAATGCTAAATAGTGTTTTTTTTCCTGAGCAAATATGCACTCACTATCCAGATGAATAGCTTAAACATTTTACTTTGACTGCCTAAGACTTTTGCACAATACCGTACATGGTAACATAACATTGCAAATAAACAATCTTTTTTATGTGTTCTTTTTTGGAGATATGATTGGTTCAGCTTCTTAGGTGTAAAGATGTCCTACCTGACTAACTTAATTTCCTGTTCTTGGTATAAAGCTAAATAAATCCATTTGCTGGGTGCACTGAACATAACAGCAAATTGGCTTGTTGTGGTTTTGGTGCGGTGGGGTGGTTACCATAGTAACATGAGTGAAATGATCTTCCTGTCCTCGTCCAATAACAGCTCTGCGTTGCATGTGATCCCCGCGGTTGTGCTTGACTGCGAAGATGACAAGGAGAACATGCCGGACGAGTCTGATTACGAGGACCTGCCCTGCATGTACAAGGACGAGGATGAGGATGAGGAGGAGGAGGAAGACGACGATGGTGAAGAGGAGGACGATGATGATGACTCCCTTTTCACGAGTACGTGCCATCGGCATCGTCACACAATCGCCGAAAGACCTGTCCGCCTCAGGAATCACCCCACAATCTGGCACCCATTGCCTTCTTGTGGGGGTGGCGACTTTAATCTATGATGCCTGGTTATTGGAGGCAATAGACTCCAGCTGGTCCCTCCCCCATCCCACCCCACCCTGAGCAGAGGGATTAGTCTCCTCCCTAGATGTGATTTCCCCTCTGTTGGGTAGAATTTTTGGGATGTAGGGGTCTTGTTTTTCCATGCGTTCCCTCACTGACCTCCAGCATCAGTGAGTGTGATAATGCTGGTATTACCATCTCATATCTTCTGTTACAGCACTAATCTTTTAGGGAGGGGGTCCACAAACAAGCCTAATCCTGTTAGCTATACTCATAAATTGGGCCAGCTCTACCTTTCTGGGGACCATAGGCAAAGCTTTGGGGGGGGGCCACAGAGAAAACTGATCATTATTTCACTTCCTCTGCAAAGCAGGCCGGAGGCCCTGGCCAGCTGCCTATTCTATCTATAGCTGGAGCCAGCCATGTATATAATCTGTATATTTTTCATGACTTCGTCTGGGTCTCCTTGTACAGATTGGGCCCTCAGCAGCTGCCTATATTGCCTGTGTCTGGATCTGGCCCTGTAAAGGATAGTGGTTTGTACTGGTGTCCAGTCTGGGGTGCCCCTTGGGGGTTCTGGCTTCACTATATGTCGTCCCCCCCCCAGGTACACTAGCGCTGAAGGTGCTCAGGAAGGACTCTCTGGCCATCAAGCTGAGTAACCGGCCGTCGCAGCGCGAGCTGGAGGAGAAGAACATCCTGCCCGTGCAAACAGACGAGGAACGCTTGGAGGCACGGCAGCAGATCGGCAGCAAGCTGACGCGGTGGGGGGGCCGGGCGCAACTGCTGGGGGGCGGGGGGGGGGGGGGGCAGAACTGCCACCACAGGCCACTGGAAAAAAACATATAAATGGAAAGAGCTTGTTTTCATATATGATATAATCTGAGGGCCATTTCAGTGTTTCAGTTGAATATTCAGGAGGTATAAGGTGTAAGTGAACAGTGAGCATTTCCTTGTCTCTCCCAATCTCCACACTTCCCCATTTAGGATCTTCCTCTGCAGCTTGTCACTGTAAATCAGCTGGTATAAGTTAATGGGAAACCCCCTTCCGCCAATCCCCACCCAAACTTCCAAATCGTCACATTTGAAGGTCCTCAAACTGAAGGACAGAGGCCTTCAACACAGAAAGCTAACCCCGGTGTTAGAGATAGTAAATGGTCTCACATATACAGGGGTGTTGTACCTTTTGACAAAATGTCACCATAGGCCCAATTTTATGTATAATTTTATGTGTTCAAGGGTCCCTGTCAAGCGCTGGGCCCTCTGAATCTGCCAGGGTATCTATACCCCATCGACGGCCCTGCACACACGCGCACAGCTAACATGCAGTCCCAAGCCCTTTTTGCGTCAGCCTCAGTGTGTGAGTCATGGCTGTCTCTGACCTCAGCCAGTGTTGTTGTTGTTGCTGTTATTGTTGATATTTCCCCCCCCCACCCCCGGTTCTCACCACTTCCTGGCCTCTGCTGAAACTCCCAGTCGCAGCTCCTGCGAGCATTCTTGGAGTTTTTCTTTTTGTTTTTGGTCCTGTATCTGAACTTTCAGAATGCTGAGGAAAATCCAGTGACCAGTGTCACAGTTCAGATTGGACTCGAGGGGAACCACAGCATAAAGGTAGAGCTTTCAGAAGCCAGGGAAACACTTTCGACATTGTTTTCAGGCTTTGTCTTGTAAAAACGTGTGTTTGCCATATAAGCAAAGCGGTCCCAAACTAATTAAACTGACATCATATAATAAGCGAGCAGATTGGGACTGAGTGAAGGCCTGATCTTGGCTGGCATTTCCCCAAACAGCACACTCTGGGCCCAGGTCTGAGAGCAGCTCTCTGGGGGGGGGAACAGAATGGATCATGAAATGTATTAATCGCAAAAACATGGCAAGCTAATGCACCCAGACAGGGGGTGCCAAGTGGAAAGAAATGGACTCGACTCGATTCAAACACAGCAATGGACATCTGGGCCTCCTGCAAGGCATTTAATTACTGCTTTATTTAACATTTTTCTCAGCCATTGCGGAAATACTAAGACGTTCCATGTTTTGATACACTTGGGGCTAGTCTGCTCAGGAAGATGCGTTCTGGATGTATGTGGGTGGTTTGCTCGAACCCTTATGTGTCTTAGCAAGGGAAATACCAGAGCGAAAGTAGGATAGGTTTCCCGGTCATTCCGAGGAAGAGCTGACACTGATTGAACTTCAGGGGATCTGCGTTTGATGGAGGAGCTGTTATCTGGGAGCTGGCATTAAGCACCTGAGGTATGATTGGCGCACTGTGTGACTCTGTGCCAGTGATCAGAAGGTTCAGCAGAGTGATGTCACCATTGCGTCCTTGATCAAGGCCCTGAACCCCTAATTGCTCCAGGGACTGGCTGACTCTCCCTTCTGAATTGTACGTCACTTTGGGGTCAAATCACCTGCCAAATAAACATAATGGCTGATGAGATGCTGACAATGTGCGTGTTTTTGGATTTTTTAATAATTGCGAAGCTCACTGCAACTGTGTACTGGATAAGTAGTTATGTATGGATGCATGGATGGTTATAAACACTGGGAGAAATTTCATTTGCATATTGGATCCTGGATCCCTGACAGACCCTCAGGCTTCTGAGGATCTTTTTAGCGCCAGACCTGCAGCATCATCTTTATTGTATTACAGAAACAGTCCTGTGGGTTGAAGAGGAGGAGGGAATGAGTGATTTGGAAAGAGAGAGGGGTTCTCTCCCAAATTAGAGCAGTGGTGATGACGCGGGGTTTTTCTGTTCAGTGTCTGAAAGGGAAGTGAAAGAGGATGTTGTGATCATCACGAGATTCAGCAGGTCGTAAATTTGCCGAACCGCCCGCGGAATTCTGAGAGGTTTCACCTAAAGAGCCAGGTGGTGGAACAGGAAGCACGTAAGGAGGCGAGGACTGGTGCGACCGGTGGAAACTCGTCTCGTGCGTGGCTGTCTGGCCCCACCCCCTTCGTGGCCCTGCCCTTACTTTCACTTTGCCACAGCTGAAATGCCACGCCATACCCCGGCTACTGGCAGAACTATAGCAGCTGTAGCTGATGGTGGTGATGGTCCACAAACTGATCAGGGTTTTCTTCGCCAGGAGACTCAGCCAGCGGCCCACAGCGGAGGAGCTCGAGCAGAGGAACATCCTCAAACGTGAGTCTGGTCCTGGTCCCGGTCCCGGTCCCGGTCCCGGCCCCGGTCCCACCCGGTCCCGGTCTATTACACGTATTCTGTGGGTCCATATACAGGGCATCTGGACCTTAGTGGTAATACAGCAGAATGTGTGTTTCACAGGTCATATTTATGTACTATTTATTTCTTTATTTTGTATTTATTTAGTGCTTATTTATTTATTTATTTATTTAATATTTTGTTGGCATTTAGTATTTAAACTTTCACATCTAGTTGGACATTCATTCACATTGCAGATTTTAGTACACGGATATTTACGGACTGATTTTTACCTAATTGCGATTATGTGCTGCACAGACAAATTTTAGGTACATGTAGATGCACCAGGCCAGTAGAGTGAATTCTGGTTCTTCGTAGTCTGACCAGCTTTTGACAAAAGTGTGGGAAAGCAGAAAGTCTCAGGATCAGATTTCTAGACCCCAACGGATAGTCAGGAGTGAGGGACCAGGAGCACATGGTGTGTCTGACGAGCATTCTAGCAGCTCCGCTCACGTCCTGACTCTTAACAATGTCAGCTTTGTACACGTGAAAGCAAGGCAGGGAAATGAAAGCTGTTTTTTCTGAGAACTGCGTGTCCCTGGACTCTGTTTATCCACCATCCATTCGCTCGTCTTCTCAAAGCTGCACATGGTTGTGTTTAATAATGACTAACGGCGACGAGAAGGGCGAGTGGGAGTTTTGACTCGTCACCTCTGTTGTCACGGGACAGACTTTTTCAAAAAATTACTGAATGACTGGGTCTGGCGGTTCTTAGATGTAAATGAATGTGAATTTTATCACGTTTGGTAAATCGGCCCTCCCTTCTCGTAATCCCTGAAACCCCAAGCTATTTTTCTTTAATTATATTAAAGCATGCCTGACTCCATCCATTGAGGGGTTGAACCAGACTCTGATTTGTCCGCATTGGCCTAAAGACCAGACTGGTGTCATTTATCCTTTTCTATCCCTTTTCAGTTCGACTTCATTTAACTTTACTCATTAATTTTAGTTCATGATGCCATTATTGGAGCCTAGGTCGGTATAGCCTGAGATGTTGCTGGTTTTGTTGAAGCTAATGACTCCATAGACAAGATAGTAATGTTATGAGAAGTTGATACAAAACAAAAGTGGATCGCCCAGGGCTCTGAATGCATGCCGATGTTGTCGTCGTTTCTCTGGAATGTGACCAATTTTAGTTTTCTTGTGAATTTGCACATTTAGTCCCTTTGTGGCCACCAAATGTGATGGAGAAAGATCTGTGGGCAGGATGTCATCCTAACTGTCACAATGTCACCTCTGTCCCCCCCCCACAGCAAGGAATGAACAAGAGGAGCAGGAGGAGAAAAGGGAGATTAAGCGACGGTTGACACGCAAGGTGAGTTGTGGGGGGTATCTGGGGAATTCAGCATGGCAGGGAACCTTCAGACAGGGGAGAGAGGAGCGTGAAGATCAAGATCAGGGAAAATGGTGTTGGAAAGATTAGATCTTGGTGCAGCTGAGCACGACTATGGCGTGTTCTCATGCTCGGTCTGAACGTAGGTCAGCAGGGTGGAGTTTTTGTCCATTCAGTTCTTGTTCCTCATCGTTGGGAACTGAAATGAGTCCCCAACAGGGCTGAATTCAGAAGGTGGAGGCCTCTGGGCTAAAGTCATTGCTGGGACCCTGCATATGGTATAAAAGGCTGTTGTAACAACCAGAAAAAAATTTGGACTCCCCTTCAACTTGGGGCCCTGGGCTACAGTCCAGGTTAGCCTCTGCATAAGTCCGGCCTTGACCCCCAGTTGTGTCTGTTGTCGCGTTTTATAAGAGCAGCGTCTGTGAAACACATTGAGCTCGTTTTGAGATTCTGACCAGACGCGTGTCTTTCTCAGCTAAGCCAGCGGCCTACGGTGAAGGAGCTGAGGGAGGCCAGGATCCTGACCCGTTTCAGTGACTACGTGGAGGTGGCCGATGCCCAAGACTACGACCGGCGGGCAGACAAGCCCTGGACGCGCCTCACCGCGGCTGACAAGGTAACGGCCACGGGCCACATGGCGTGGGGTCGGCCTCTGTGCTCTGCCGTTCTCATGAATGGGATTCATCTGTGAGACGTCTCAAGGTGAAAGGAGCAATGAAACAACAGTGCCCCCTGCTGGTACATTTCAGTAGGTTTTCCCTTGTCCTGGCTGAAGATTGTTTGAGATTTGCCTTCAAAGAAAATGGTTAGACCAGCACCTGGTTCCCTTCTGGCTCTAGGCCTGGATACGAATAGCGTTCCGCGTACCCTGCGAATGTCCACGCCTGAGCACGTCGGCGATGGCTAGTTGGAGCTTCAAAGGCCTTGGAAGATTAACTTTACCCTCTGCGTTAATAATGGCAACAGAGTGTGTGACTCCAATGCACAGATTGGCTACATAAGATTAGTTTAGCCCCAAGGAGGTGTTATGTGATCCTGGGCTGTGACTCATACACCTTTGGCACCTCATACTGCCAGCTATATGGACCATTTCCAGTTTGTTCTCAGTTAGTCTCTGGGAAAGCCTACATCTGCATGTAATATAGGGAAAACATTACATGGGCTATTAGGTTCTATTAAAAGAACAATATACATTCATATTAAATATATTCAATATTAAATCACTTGTTAAAAGACATTGGTAAATGGGACTGGGGGGTTATGGGGGCTTATGGGGGGTGCTCAGCTGCTTGGTGTCCCCTGATGGCCAGGTCCATGTGGGTGTGTTTTTTGCCAAGCTCTGCTGTGACAATCTTATTGAATTACTTTGCACAATATTAAATATTATGGATACCATTGTAAATTAGGTGTCTCTCCTAGGCCGCATTGCCAACATTTGCCCCCCCCCCCCCTTTCACTCACAGGCAGCCATTCGGAAGGAGCTGAACGAGTTCAAAAGTACAGAGATGGAGGTGCATGAGTCAAGTCGACACCTGACCAGGTAGGGGGCAGCATGGCTCATCGCTATAGCAGGGAGCCTCGGTCTGGCCTGAAGGATACTGAGCGTCAGTGTGCTCCTGCTACAATGTTACAGTTTTATTACTACATTATTATACTATTTTGTTATACAGTCAGTCCTGCTACAATGTGACTGATGCATTCCTGAAAAACCTCATGTTCACTAAAATCGCATTCTAAAATACAAATATCCAGTAGGAAAATTTGTGTTAGGGGAATGTGACTCCAAAACTTAACAACTTACGCCAAACAAAATGAATTAAATACTAAAAATAGTGATACCACCAGCCCATAACGTAATTATATGTATTTTAATTAAATAACATATCACGTTGTAGTTCACATAGTGCATTTCTCTCCCACTGAAAATTGCGCAAATACAGTACAAATGAGATTCAGTGGTATATTCCACTTCGGTACTAATAACAGTCACCGTTGAACAGATTCGCGGTGTGATATTACATGTTGTAACAGGATTAGCTGTACTATTTTTCTGAAAGTATGTGTAACCCTTATTCACCAAGCCAATATCAACCTGAACTTTGTGTCCAGAACTTCCTGTCATATGGTAACCACATCCCTGCTCTGTTTTAATTTCAGGTTCCACAGGCCATAGAAGCCCTCTGTACAGAACCCTGTTATGGGATCCCCCACAGACTCACTCAGAACTGTTGTATGTCGTGGTCTGATTGCCAGCCCAGGATACTCCACAATATCCAGTACAGACCTTTCGGCAGGACTGACCCTGTAAGGTGACCACCTGGCTGGAGAGCAGCGGAGGAGGCGGGTCCTGATAGGGGGGGGTGATCTATCCCATTCTGCTGGCTAGCCATCGTGGCCATCCACACCCCTGCCAGCATGGGACTGTCCCGGGAGTGACGGTCTCCCTTGCCCTCTCTGACAACGCACCCAGACCAGAGAGTTGGAAACCAAGAAGGCAGATGTCTGGAATTCCTGTGCAATACTCCGTCCCACAGCATGGCGGTGCTCTTCCCCTGACACCCCCCCCCCCCCAAATCGTTTACAGCAGGGATGTCAAACTCCAGTCCTGGGGGGCTGGAGCCCTGCACATTTTAACACACCGGATTCAACTCCTTGCACTTCCTTGTGCTATATTACCATACAGCTCTTGAGCTGAATCATTTGTGGTGGAACAGGGAAAAAAACATATGAAAAAAAAAAAGATACACAGGTCTCTGGCCCCCCAGGACTGGAGTTCGACACCCCTGGTTTACAGCATGCTACAAGGGGAAAAGTGGGTATCTGGACCAACTCTGCACCTGCTGTTTGCTCTGTGACCGTACTGCTACTGTAGATGTGTCCTAGTAACTGAGATACAAAACTAATATATTTTTTTTAAATCTACATTTCTGCTGTATGACAGAATACCGAGCGGCCATTACTGACGATATTGAAGGAATTGTCACAAGTCTAATGTAAGAGTTCAGTGTAACATCTTTTATTGATTACAAAAAATAAAAATACCAACTTCACAGCACTTTCAAAAAGTACCGCAATCTGAACTGTGCCTTTGCTCTTTAAACCACTACGGCATAGTGTACAGAACTCTGGCTTCGGCTGAGAGGGTCATTCTAAAATCTATCTCGCGACCCTTTCCTTCATTTTCCAGTTAATGGTGCACTACAGTATGCACACCTGTCACGCTAAGCATTTTTACCCTTTAAAATGTTTGCCACATAAGTTATGTAGACACTAACTTTTCAGTGTGTGTCGTTTATATATATATTTAATCCAAAATATTTATTTAATTTCATGATTACATAATGTGGCACCTGCTTTACTATTGGCGCATTTCCACTGGTATACAGGAACCAGGCCGTACCTGACCCGTACCACGAAGAGCCAGTGACATTAGAGAAAAAGAGACGTTTATTTAATGTTCCCAAGGTGTACCTCATGATTTACTATGTGCTAATTTCCTCTATGCCAGAGGAATCCCTTGGAAATGTTAATTACGTCACTGTTTTCAAGGTGTTCAGTACATTTGCTTTGCCTTCCGAAAGCTTCCGTGATAGATCAGGTGAGACTGCTCGCGGCGACCCAGAGGGCTGAATCTTCAGCAGGCCATGTGATTACTGCCAGCGTAGTGGGTGGATTCATTAGATAGGAGCAGTAAAATTTTAAAAATGATTCTGCCTGCCTACTTCATGTCTGAATATGCATCTGCATAAATATGAAACTGCCTCAGAATGTTAAGACACCGTCGCTGTGGTTGCATGAATCACTTCTCCGGATTTAGTGTCTCGAGTTACTTTGATAAACATGTTACATGTTAACAAACCAAGCAATAATTTTAGTTTAGGGTTCATTTGTTTATGGTACAAGAAGCTTATTAGTCTTGAAGACCACCACTAAGAGCCACATTAACAGGCAAGCTGCCACCTCTGCAGTAAATATCACCAGGGTGTCTCCTACTTGTCTCCTAAGACCAAAAATAGAAAGTGAAGTCCCCGTTGACAGGATCGCCATCTTAGTCACTCTGGTTTATATCTTTGCCTGTCACATTGTCACTTTGAAAACTGAACCCTTTCAGGGGTTGTGGTTGCCGCTGTTTTATTCTCTCTTCCTGTTTACCAATGAATACTTGCAGAACAGTTGATCACTAGAGAATTTCCGTTACCTGTTCCCTCTGTTATATCTTGATCTGAGGTCTTAGAACTGTAAAAATCCATCTTTGTCTTCTGTTGTAACTTCAGTATCAAAATTGGGCAGTATCATCACCCACCCCAGGGCTCAAATTGCCTTTCCTACGGTATACAGTTTCCATTTTTTTAGTATGTTAACCAGCCAGATGTCAGAGGATTTGTGCTGGTGGGGTGTAAGGATGTGACCCCCTCCATCACAGGAACCTGGCTACTCCCTCTGGGAGACCATGTGACTCAGGCCAGCATGAGTGGTAAATCCTCGTCGAACCTCTCCACTTCCTCCGCAGAGGAACAGCCTGTTTTCACTCTGCCACATGTAACTGCTGTTCGATGGCCTGGATTCCAGCTGCGAGGAATATATTTCAAGCTGGAAATTCTGCTGGAGCCCAAAGTCAACGTTGTTACTATTATTTATTTTTCAAAGATATCACACAGCTCACCCCATGAAATATTTGCTGGTTAACCCAAATTGTGGCAGGTGCCTCACTGCCACCAAAGCATGACTGATTTGGTACGTTGTTTCCTGTTAACCCACTTGATGAATTAAGATTTCCTCCCACGTGTCTGACACCATGAGCCCCATGTACATTATTATGTAATGGAATGCCACACTCGTGTTTCTGACCTTTGCCACTGTGTGAGTGGGGGGAGGTTTACCACCACTAGTCACGACGCTGTCCCTTTAAGGCGTCATAAAGCAGTAGCTCCAGCGGGGGCAGTAAAACATGACCCAAGACGGGCCGGCGACAGAGTTCAACACATCATGAAGGATGGGTCTACGTACTCATTAGAGGGTCTGGAAAACTTTGTGAATTTGTACAGCTGTCCTTATATAGAAGCGAAGGTTTGACTGTACTGTAAGAGATTCTGGATTTATGTAAATAGCAGAGTACCCAGGTCTCTAAGCATCTTGTACATTTTGGTCTTTTTGTACAGACTGAAACTGCATGGAAGCATTTAACTTACTGTCTGTCTATAATGATGTATGCAGTTTCTTGTATAAAAGAAACCTTATTAAATATGTTTTTAAATAAACGTGCTTGTCATGCGTAAGAGGAAACTACAGATGCACCACATCCAGTCTTTATCGAACACATACTTTTATTTGAGTAACGTAATCAAAGATTAAGGTTCCAGAAGTTCCGTCCTGCCGCCATGCAGGGACAAACCCCGTCTGATGGAAAGGTCAAGGTGGGGTCAGGGTAGCGCAGACGGAAAGGACACAGACGCTGGCTTCCTGCTTCACCTCCGGCTCAGATGGTGCCACTTTCCCCTGTAAACGAGCAGTATCGCCATGCAGGGTCAGGATATCCCCGGAGTGGGTGGAGCCATCCAGCCACAGGGGCTCACGTGTCCAATGAAATCATACACTGCACATGGCTGCCATGGAAATCAGGGAAGCGGCGATTAAAAAGTCTGTTCCCCTGCAGAAATGAGGGCACATTTTAGCCCTGTAGCAGCAGCTCGTGGAGGATGGAGGCAGGGTTACACCAAGTGCACTGGAGTGCCACAGTGCTTGTGCCACAGGTCGATGGCTTTCGTTACGATGGCATCCGTGTTCTCCTGCGGCATCTGGAATGCAAAAGCAGCTTGTGGTTAGAGCACTCCCTCCCTGCGGATACCATCGCCCGAGCCACATACCGCATCTCTAAAAATTAACCGTGTGTCGATACATAATCTGCAGTCTAGTCCAGCTGGGCTCATATATCCCAAGCTAATTAAAAACTTCTTGAACCTGTAAAAGTGGTGGACCGCAGGACCCAGGACTGAGAAACACTAGGTGTATCAAAAATCGCATACTTGTTTGCTATGTAGTAGGCAAAATGTAGTATGCGAAGTGAGCAGTATGTCAGACTCCTCAGCATGGATGAGACAGTAGGCAAATAGTAACTGGATGGTATACTACATCCATCGAAATTCCGAAGTATGCAACCAATGGATCCATAACCAGAGAAAATATTGCTTGCTCAGTAATTTGTGTCCATCTCTCTACAAAAAGTCAGTAGAGAACAATACCCAGTTATAAAAGTTGACTCGAATATGTATTTTTTTCCTCCATTGACAGTTTTTAATAACTGTAAAATTTCACGGGGGTCTACATCATCAGTACACATTCAGGTCAGGAAATATGTACGATTATGACCGTGGTGAGTCAGACTACATGCATACTATTCTCATACATACAGTAACGGTCACGTAGTAGGTTCTTTATGAAATTCAGTAGCTACTGTGTAAGTATGGGATTTCAGACGCACCCACTGTGTAGAGCTATCAGGACTGTGTGCTGGATGACCTCACCTGTAAAACATCTATCATGTTCCAAGAAAGAAAAAAAAAAAAGGGCTACAAATCAGACTTTAGGCAGTTACTCAGGACACAGGTTCAAATTATAAGGAAAAGAACAGCAAAAGTTTGGCCAGTAAGCAAACGTTTTAAGCAACAGGCTTAAGCTCTCACCACAGACTGTAAAGATGACACCACATACTGGCCTTTTGAAGTAGCAGTACTTAGTTTATCTTATTTAAAACCTTCATCTTAAAACGAGGAATATATTTCAATGGCTGGTGGAGCTGCATGGACTGAATCAGTCACCGGGGGGAAAAGAAAATTGGCCGATTTTTAAGCACTTAATGCCAACCAGCATCAGCCGATTAATCACCTACATGGCTGATAAAGTGATGACTGTTTGCGGCCATGCGACTGACACGCAGCCATGCGACTGACACGCAGCCATGCGACTGACACGCAGCCATGCGACTGACACGCAGCCATGCACAGCACTCACTCCATCAGTGTGGTAGTGTGATTTATCAGCCCCGAACGTAGTGAATCTGCGTGACAACCAAAGGTAAGAGATCTAAATTCCTCCCGCTTACACCAGTTTCGCTTGATGAATAACAACATAGTTGTCATGGCCACAAAGCCACAACAATCTCAATTTTGAAACATACCGTTTTGTTATTTTTGTCGGAAATTGAATTATGAAATCATGTCTCAAGTTATATTTTTTGTATTACCTTTAAAATGCTGCATGCCCTTCTTTAAAGTGTGATCAGTATTTAGAGTTAAATTGTTTTTGTATGTTAAGCAGTTAAGTTGTTCATTTATTTTTCTACTTGGCCTGATATTGGCTTTGAGAAAACAGGATTGCAAAAAATAATGAAGCAATAAGTAATTTATAATGGATCTCTGATACCGGCAACAGAAACATTACACTTATAAATAAGAGGAACAGAAGAAGCCATTTCCTTGACTTCCTGTGATGGTTATTTTGAAAGACAGAGAGGTGCTGTGTCTGTGACATTGCATGCATACATCCTGTAGGAGGTACTCTAACGATCTAAATTGCCTCACATTAGCCAGGAACTGCAGGATTCCCTCCAGCCGCTTCATGCCCATCAGCTTGTTCTTGTAACTGAGCAGGATCTCCACAGCGACGAACACCAGGATCTTGCAGGAGCCACTGATAACCTTGTCCCAGACCCTGTGATGGGGGGATTGACACAAAATCCTTACATTTTATAGATCCAAAAGTACAGGCACCTCTTCCCACAACACTGATAAAAAGCTTGGCTGAAACTTGGTCTTGTAAATGTTAATCAACATATTTACTCCACAATGTGGTTCTATTTTTAAAGGGAATAATTCCCTTCTATGAACTTCACCTATCTGTTCACCTTAATCAAAGCTTTAATGATTTAAAAGGCTTTAATTAGATGCCTCTGTACCTCTGCAGGCTGGATTCTGGGAGGCACCCAGAGAAGCATCTCCAGAACCACGGGTCATAGGGCAGCTTGGTCAGAGCCCCACAGCTCTTCAGGTGGGTCAGCAGCCTGCTGTCCTCCATGTTAAGGTAGTGCTCTAGGCTCTTGGGCTGAGGGAAAACAAAAAGGGCCAGATTGTTGTGGGATCAAATGCCAGGTTGTATAAACCCTTTATATTTTCAGTTCTATGCATTTCTAGAGGTGTCAGGTGACACGTTCTTGACTGTTTTAGGTTCTAGCTCCAGCTCTCACCAGATGTGGGACAGTGTCCCCAAACTTGTTGTTGAACTGGGTGACGAAGCACTTGATGAGCCAGTAGCAGTCTACGGGGTCTTCCACAATCTCCTCCATCGACTTCGCTATGGACAGGAAATTCTCGTCGTCCTCCCCCTGCAGCGAGTGATACCATTTTATGCTGAATCAGATCAAATCAGATCAGAAGGATTCCGCACAAGTCTTTGGTTTCAAAATGATAGTAACATATGCACCCCCATTTCTCAATGGTACCATCTGGGGCGGCTGCCGACACAGTGCTCAAATTCAGACGTGTTACCTAAAATCTGCTGGTCAAATCTCAGGGTCCTGCTCATGAAGGGCCCAGTGGCAATATTTACCGGCACTCAATCCACAGATTTGGCCCCTGTTGGCCACGAACACTCACTATATGGGGGGTGCGGGAAACAACAAACCCATGCCTTACTGGTGGAGCGAGCTCAGAGCTGCGCGACAGCTCCTGGGCCTCCAGCTGGAACATACGCAGGTAGACCTCCACCTGGGGGGTGGCGGCGTGCACCACGCGGATGGCCTTCAGAGCCTCCAGAATATCCCGGTACTGCTCCCTGCGGTAGCCCATCACCAGGCTGTGGGAGTCACTGTGGGGCGGCAGAATCCCTGAGGACGCAGGCACACAGGTCAAGAAACATCACCGCAGAGTAAGCGGAAGACCAACAACAAAAATAAATAATTAACCTATTAATCGCACAGCTTTCTTAGATTAAACACACCTAATATTAAAACTTATGATAGTAAATATTTATACACTGAATCCCCAAATGAATGTAGAATTAATACAAAGGTGAATATATGGGTCACTGTCACAATATAAATATGGTAACATTCATTTTATCTCATTTTTAAAATCAGTTTGAAGACTCAAATTATACAATTTCATTTATTATTTCATGAAATGCAGGGCATATGTTACTGAGCTGAGGGGAAAAAAAAAAGACAAAAAAGCAAAAATATACTAATTCATCACTTATTGTGCGTTGCATGCAATAAAATTGAAAGATTTTAAAATATTTGATCTAGTTTTTCGGTTACTGATTTTTGGCTACTTATTTGGGGAAAATTGGCTAAAAACCATCAAACCAGAGCAACAAAATGCCCTAGTTATAACCTAAAAAGTTAAGGTAACGTCAATTGCTCCACACAAAAAACAAACACTGCATTTCACATCTATTTTTTTTAATTCTCAAGTTTGTGAGAGTAGTACAAGCTGAATTTCAATGCTTTCAAAATGGTTTGAACAGAAGGCAATAAAAAAATATTACAAGCAAGGATATTAAATGCAAACAGGTAAATGCCCATGTACTACCAAAAAGCTGGTGACCGGACATATTTTTGTGCCCTTTATCTAAAGCCCTTGTGATTAATGCGCATGCACACAAACCGTGATAATATCGCAACGTGATATCGTGCAGCCCTATGTCACACAGCAGAGAACATCGCTGTAGTTACCACTAACCTCATGCATCAGTGGGGCTTACAGAACATGGTAAAATGCCTCGTCACCGATGCTGCCCCTCATATGACTGCATGCGAAAAAACACTTCAGATTTCAGTTCTCAAATTCATACTGGGGGTAGACACACTGGAACAGCACCTTCCACTTGTTTGATCACCTGTATGATCAAAGAGAACCAGGGGGGGCATCCCTGGAATGTCTCGATACAGAGCTAACCACGCTCAGTGCTCAGGAACGCGAGGCCGTGGGAGGGCGCCTCCACATGCTCTCTCTTTTCACACAAGCGACAGTGGAACTCTAGGCGAAAATGGTGTCTGGCTCAAAACACATTCCACTATTAAAAATACTATAACAATCTGTCATTTGTGAAGCAACTGGCATCACCACAGAGATGGCTGGTCAATTGGTTCAACAGCTGCTCAGACGCGACCACTTCAATTACTTGTATTATTGTATACTTTTATTCCTGTACAGCACACTGAATGACCTCTGTGAATGATAGTGTGCCTTATAAACACACTTTTCTTGCCATTCCTTCACAGAGCCTTATTTCTCCATCACTACATAATATACTAATAACTTAAAATCCTTATTCTAAAACAGAGAACATCCCAACCCGTGCTGTTCAAGCATACAAATAAGATCTTAGAGGTGACTGAGCTGCAAGAGATCGTTCCACACTTACCCAGCTGGACCTTCCACACATGGATCCGGTACATAGAGGGAAGAGGAAATCGCTGACTGAAAGTGCAGAGCTTTTCCACATCTACCAGGGGGAAATCAAATTAAACAGCATGCAAGGACGCAGGACTTTTCATCCTGCTGGAGATCAGGAGCAGCATATCCAGGAAGGTACAGCTACAGGACAGAGACCCACCTGGATGGGATACCTACCCAGCGGGTTATCTTTCAGCAGAATTTCCAGGGATTTCTTCTCCTCCACTCCCCTAAACCCAACCTTCTCATAGTAGGCCGATCGAAAGTTCCTCTGTGGGTCTTCGGCCATGATTATAAAGGGGAGAAATAGTGTACCTTTAACAAAAATCAAACAGAGCTGTAAAGCACACAGCAGCCAGAGAATCAGATCAGATGGGCTTCCTGTGGGCCAGCAAGCAGAAGATGTACTGCTCAATTCACAAACCGATCTTCGTTATCATACTCACAATGTATTGAACAAAGAAATGATGTTTACTATTTCTAAAATTATTTAATCTACTCCATGAAATTATACTGCAAATTTTCACTGCTTTGCGTTATGCTGTTACTAACCCACAATTCTGCTTCATATTCCTTTGGATTTTGAACAACACTTAAGCAATTTTATTTTAGCATGATTTTATGTTAAGAGAAAACACATTATTCATCGCAACATGAAATTCACTATAAATACAGGTACCAACATAACTGCAGCCACAGCGTCCGCTACAGGGATGCTATCAAAACAGCTTTGCATTGTTTCATGTAGCCCCCTGATATTTAAATTAGTTTATTAAATCAAAACGTAGAATATACGAAACGTTGCAATAAAATCAAAAATAATGTAATACATATAACCCTTAAATAGCTGACCACGGAATCCATACCATCTGAAGCGAGTAGGCCTCACAGCATCCACGGGCTATCCTAGCGTACGAGCCCAAATTCAGAACTTCGTTACGCGTGCACGAATCTACAGAAGTCAACTGATAATTTTCACATTCTATATTTCAATTTAAAATGGCGCTAAATTTATGTTATTTCAATTGCTTATATTTGCAAAAATAAACTAATACTTAAAGGACGTTCCACTGCTACGCCGATATTTAACGTGCTTCCCCACTACTAAATTCTTCTAGGCGATTTATTTTAGTTTTCCGTACTTCCCAGCAGATGGCGCAAAATCATTTTGTGAACCCCGTCTGTAATGAATGAAAAAAAAATCGTTTTCTTGGTTTTTCTATTTTGTTTAGGTCTGTGTACTAGGCAACCATGATCATGATTTTCAAACTTATCCAAATCGACTAGTAATTCTACAATTCAGTCTTGTATGTACTGATAAAGTTAAAGACCATTTCAATGGCGCAGCTGGAAGTTGAATTTGTAACGATTTAGACTTTAGCTCGTTTGGCAACAACTATACCCATTTCCTAGTTATTTGCAGGCCGCGGGACAATGCGTCAGGATTAAACGTTTGTTGCCCTAGTCACGTTTGCTTGTTTTTCCTCTATACCGCTTAGATTATCAGGCGTCGTTATCTAAAGTAAATCATCCGCAGAGTAGAGCTTTACTAACCATTTGTTCATTTAGATAATAGTACAGAATGAGTACCAGTTGTTTTCTCAGAATTACAATGTCAAGTCCCACACTTCCCAAACTTAGCGACCACTTCAATTAAATATGAAAACGTATCCAGGTGTATCATGTGTACAACAGCTGTCTCCAGCAGAGGGCATCAAATAACTACCTGCTTCTAATTTCGTGTCAAGTCAAAATATAGCACTGTAATAAATACCTAACTCCCTCATAACATAACTAATTTATTCCACGCTAAGATTTCTGAAAAGTAGCACCCATTTTAACTTTAAAGAAAAACTGTTCTAATTATAAAACTGGCGCATATTTCATTCAGACGAAATAATCACTGATCTATATTTTTTTTTTCCATCAGACAATCGTATAGGGTAAGCCTTGTATTATAACTACGCCAGTGCTGTGCAGGAGCTAATCGAACGCTGAACGCGAACTTCCATTAAGTTGCAAACCAAAACAACCACGATAATTTACTGCGCGATGTCTGACGGGAAAGAGAGTCCCAGCCGCCAGCACAAGACGTTACGTAAAAGTCAACAGCGCTCAGAAAAAAAAATCATTCCCACGATGCAACTCTGCAGGCAGCGGCTGCCACAAAAGGGTCGGGTCGGGGATGCGCGAAGTTTTTCCTTTTTTTTTTACCTCCGCTTCGTGTCGCCAGGGAGTTACGGCTCATTAAATATTCTGCATATGATTTAATAATATATGGTCCGTGACCACGCCCCGTGGCTCCGCCCCCGTCCGCCCCGCCCTCCTGCCGTGCCTGTGGAGTTTCTCCTAGCAGATCTCGTTAGCCAGTCTCCATTATGGCGATGTCAATAACGACGGAGCAACGCTGACCGCTGGAGCAAGTAGCGGAACAACTGGAAGCCTGGCTAGCTATACCAGTATAGCTAGCTAGCAGAACAGGCGAAAGAATGTAAGCCGTAAGAAAGGACGCGATTCGTTAACTTATCTAACGGGAGAGCGTTTTTCTTAAACCACCCTTATTTATTTTTAGACGCAAAGCAATATTCGCTTTTTTTAACTTGGGCAGAAATGGAAAGTGCAAAGTCTGCGGCAGTGGGAGAAAACAGGTTGGAGAGGAGCGGTCCGGTGAGAACTGTTGCAATAGTGGTGTCTGGCTCGGAAACGGGTAAAATAAGTGTGTCTAAGTTAAAGAAGCCCGGCAACGGAGTGGCCGCCGCCGTGAGGAGGGATGATGATGGTGATGAAGATGAGGACGATGATGATGGCGGAGCCGGGGAGCCGGCGTCAGACTACGATGGACCATCATCCGCCTTGCTTCGGGTAGAGGCGGTGCACCGTAGGCGAGCCGTCGCCGAATCGCCGGTGAAAAGCCGCGGCTTGAGCGCCAGCGTCAACGTGAACTCGCTGCTGATGAGAAGAAAGAGGCTGAAGAGGAATCTTTCCGCCGCCGTTGCGGCCGCCCCCCCGGGCGGCGAGATGCGCCCGCTGGCCTCCGCCTCGCCCATCGCCGCTCGCACCCTGGACGGGAAGGTCCCGTTAAGGCGTAGGCACGGCGTGCAGCTGCAACCGTCCGACAGGCAGTGGGTGCGAGGAGACCTGCAGCGGGGATGCGTGCACGTTCATGACAGGCTGAAGCTGCGCTGCCTTAGGCCGGTGCTATGCACTGTGGACACCACTGCCGGGGAGATAGCGCGCAGGCTGAGGCAGCACGGTAGGGGGGGGACCGCTGTCCGAGTGGCCGGTGCGGCCACTGATCTGCGTAGCAGGCATGAGTTTATGGAACCTGGGAAGCGGGATGGACACGGGGATCAGTCCGGTTCGACGGATGACAGGTTGGGGTTACTACTTCTGCCAGACGCGGAGCAGACGACCGACGCGCGTATCTTAAACGGGGCAAGTAAACTTTATGAGGACGAAGTATCGCCGTCGGACATCCTCCTTAGTCCCAAGATCGATGCCCTGATAGATGCGGAGACGGAGGAGTCGCGGCACACAGGCACGGACAGCTGCGGACTGAACTCGAGTTCGGACGTGGAGAGCGGCACCTTTGACGATCTGAGCTCCGGCGGCCGCGACTCCCTGAGCGACGGTATGGTGCTGGGTGCAGACGCGGCCGCCTTGAGTCCCACGGAGGGACTTGACCCGTTCGGGAGCTCTTCCGATGAACTGGACCTGGACTGTCCCTCCTCATGCTTGTCTACCGAATCCATCGCAAGGCGGCTTTTGGTGCCCTCCGCAGATAACTATAGCAACACGGCCAGAGGTGGCGGGGAGCTTTCGGACTGCGCCGGAAGAATTGCACCCTGCGGAGGCGTGCCCCTCGGTTCTGGCAGGTTGTCGGGCGGCGGGAACCATGACACTTTGCCAAGGCCCCTGACACATCTCGGCGGCCAGGATCCCGACCCCGAGGATGAGATGCCGACTCTTTACGTTCAGCTGCATGGCGAAGCCGCCAGGAGGTTAGAGCAAGACGAAAAGCCGCTGCAGATCCAGAACGACTACCTCTTTAGACTGGGATTTAAGGACGCATGGCGAGTGCAGGAGGAGGGAATGGACACTGAGATCGGCTGCTTGATCCGATTCTACGCAGGTAAAGGGATTTACGGCAGTGCGTCAGCGCATGAATATGGAAAGTTGTCTTTTACTGTTTACTATCATCGTGGTGATCTTTGGCAACAGTTCAGGTCGATGAGAGAGCGGTCATGGCGTAGACAAGTATCGGTTTTTTCAGCTATGCTCTATAGGACCCCAGTAAACAAGGTCCCAAAGGGCCCCGTACATGCAATCCCCCATTGTGATGAATGGTAGCCCCGAAAAGAGGTATGAACCGAAAAATGGTTATTTGATTGTCCGCGGAGACAATGAGTTGCGTTGTCCCGCTGCTTTTCCTTTTAAAAATATGCATATGGAGTTAACAGGTGCCTTCGATGGCTCCGTACACGAAAAAGATGTGGGAATAGACCGCATTAGTTGTATCACGAAAAGGAAACTAGCGGGGGAACAGTCACAGTGGCGTAGGTGGGGCTCCACAAAGTATTTTCCCTTGCTAACCCTGAGAATATAAAGAGGAAAAAAGTAATGCAGTATTGCCCTGCGTTAATATTACGTCACAGTTAAATGCAGATATTTAGAATTCAATCAGATTGAGTATTCGGCATCAGTTTGGACATTTAGATATAGTTTTGCCTAAGGTATAGAAATGGCTTGGTAACATTGCATAAGTTACACATTGTAAAGAGCAGAAATGGCCCTTTCTTGTTTTTTCTAGAATCTTAGGGATAATCTCCAGTTCGTGTGTAATTCCCACACGCCGCCTCCTCTTACCAAATTTTCAAGTGCGTCAGTCCTTCACCATTGAGGATTTGTGACAGCCGTTGAGATACGGAGCTGCAGTCTTCTTATGCCCCTGGAAAATAAACAGACTCGAAAAGTCTTGCGGTTCGCTTGGAGTGGGTAGCGATATATTTTTTAAAGTGTGTCAGTATAATTCATTTTCTGCAGTGTAGTTTGAGTAGGTTGCAGTTAACGGAGACTGCGTAGAATAAGGCTTTACTAGTCGTCTTATAATAAACAGTGATTACCGTTTATTATAAGAGATGGAAAATTCCCTCACTTGTTGCTTCCGGACGTAAAGATGCCCGCCCACGCTGGCATTTATCAAATTAACGTGCAGCGGGGGCTGTAATCATCTCAAGCGACGCTAATCTCAGTTTGTCAGTGCTGACAGCTGTGTGTGCCGGTGGCCCTTCCGTAGCCGTGCGAGGCGCTTTTGAGTGCCGATCATTCCAGCGTAGGTCAAACGATTACGGAGACAACGTGCGCGGACTGGCGCGGGAGGCGTGGTTTCCGGTGCGGAGGGGCGTGGTTTGGAATGTCCGGAGTTGTCAGGTTGGGACCATGGGAGAGAAATGGAGTTGGGGGGAGGTCACAGGACAAGAATGAGTTTGGCTGGCAGTTAATGTCGAATGGGTTTTAAACCCCCTCCCCCTAAGACCTTCGAACTTTGGGTGGAAGCTAGTTGTACTGTCACAGCACAGACCGAAAGATGCGACAGTGTAAGTGTTTACTGCACCACATTGCAGGGCTTCAGCCTGACCTGTGACAATGAGATCTCGCTAAAACCTGCCAGAACTTGCGGACCTTGACAAACCTTTGTGTGGGAGGGGCAGTGGGGATTCCCCCCCCCCCCCTTCTTTTACAGAAAGCTTAGAGCAGAGTAGTGGTCCCACCTCCCGCTAAATGTGCATGACGTGCCTTTCACCTGTCACAGGCCGGGAGACTTGGGGGGGGGGGGCTTCATCCATTAGGGACTCTGAAAGCTTGGGTGAGCCTCTGAATTCCTTCGATTTAGCAGCTTTGCGGGGGCTGAATCCATGGCATTCAGTCCTGTGCTGTCTGTCTGGTCGGCTGCCAAGCCCCCCATTCATAGCCCGACACACACAGGAAGTTCACGCTTTCATTCAGCTAAACACGCAGGAGGTTTTTTTTAATGTCCTTTAAAATAGGCTGGAAAGAAGTTCTGACCCCAGGCTCGCGAGTAGCCTGGAGATGCGTACAAAAGAACCGTGACCCCTGCGGCCTCACGAGACTCGGTTAAATTATGAACTTCAGAAGCCCTCAGCTGATGTGAGGTGTGACCTCTCCCTCCTTTTGTGCTCATGTCGCAGAACTAAAGTCTTTCTGAAAACAATTTAAACAAAAAAATAATAACACGGTATTTGAAGTGGTCTTTTGCTTTCTTCCGTCATGTTGATCTGTTCGTCAATTTCTCTGCAATACCTACTCTGTGAGGGCAGTTTGTGAGCTGGTTGTATCAGATGCCTGTTTTGTAACATATTATCAAATGCTAGCAGGCGATTGATTTGTCTGTTTACATAATGACACGTGACATGACTACCAAGTGGTGCCAGCATAATAAATATAGCAGACCTCATCTTCTACAGATTTAAATCGTGATTAAACATCAAATCATCCTGTCCCAGCAGACTCAATGACTATTAATACCTTCCTTATGAAAAAAATCTGGAACATTAGAAATTAGATCAACTGTTCTTTTCTCCCTTCTCCTTAAGTAAATGCTTAGGGAATATATCAAAGGCTTGCCGAGAACCAGAGCTAAGTTTCTATCAAACAAGACACAAGCCTTTGTCATCTGTCTGTCCGGTTTCTGCCATTGTAACACCAGTATGTTACAAGTGAAAGCATTGAAAAGCAATGGAGAGAAGCTTCTGGAATTATTGTAGGTCAGTGATTTAGACGCCTGTCACCTGCAAGGAACATTTCTGTTCAGGAAGAAGGTGTGGTATTTCGTAGCAGAACAGCTTAGGGCTTTGCTTGTTAGAATGTGACATTATGTATAAAGCTATATTTTTATTTATTTATAAATATGTGTGGGGAGCAGGGGCGCCGTAAGGGGGAGGAAAGCTAGGACGATTCCAAGGGCCCCTGAGTGACAGGGGCCCTAAAAAATTAGGAAAATAACTGGATTGGTTTGGACTGGGGGGCCTAATATGATATGCTTTCATGGGGCCCAAAATCTCTAGCAACGCCCCTGGTGGGGAGACACCTAACTCTCCCCCCCCCAATCTCCCTGGTTGGGCTGAGTTATTTGAGGTATGTTCCCTGACCCCTTGTGAATGTGGAGCATGTGTTCCTGTCGGGGGTGAGGAGCTTGAAGAAGACACCATTTTCTACCCCCTCGCAAATGAAGGTTGCCGTATAGTTGTCAGGGGATGGCCCTGCCTCCACTCTCAGGCCTGGGGTCGGGGTAAGTGGCTGCCCCCACACAGGTGACGGTCCTCAGGAGGAAACATGCTGGTCCACCTAGGGCTCAGCACTCTTCCTCCTAGCATCTAGCCATTGGGGTGATAACGTAGTGTCTTTGACAGAGGCGCCGTTTAGCGAGCAGCGATTAGCGCTGGACCCCGGGCCACGGTGGTTAACCTCAGCCCGTGTGAAAACGGGCTGGGGCTCTTCCTCCAGGTCAGGTAGAGGAGAACTTGGAAGCGAGGGGTGCTGCACGAGCACCCGATCTGCATTTCCGTCGCCTCCCGTGATCTCGGAAGAGGGTGATGATATCACCGTCTTTGTTGGGGCTTGACATCCTAGGTGGTTTGAATGGGAGTTCTTTCCCGGAGAGCGACGGCTGCTCCTCCTCCACCTCATTCGCCCCCCAGGTAAACACGGCATGAATGAACAGACTGCATGATGTGCAGGTGCCCTGCCTGCCCTGGAGGAGGGCGTGTCCCCAACATGAAGAGTAACACTGTGCTAGTAATTATATAACTGCCCCTTTTCATGCTGTTTCATGCCGAATACTTATAAAAACCAAAGTAGGTCATGCATTAAAAAAGGACATTTGAATCTTAATTGGTTAGTGTGAGTAATTAAGTCATGAATTATTTAGTTAAGGACTCATTTTTATGTGTGTATATATAATATATGTATTTATTTATTTTGAACGTTCATTGTTTAACAGCTTTGTGTGGTAGAGGTATAGTCAAACATGTGTGGGTGAAGCATGGAACCCGGGAAAGATGTGGTTAAAGTATTGAACCCGGGAAAGATGTGGTTAAAGTATTAAACATGGCTGTGGCCCCATTGTTGCAACAATCCTGGTAGCACCACCCATCTTGTGTGGAAATGCATCCTGGGAGTAAGGAGCCGGCTTAGGGTGCGAGTGTCAGAGGGTCTCGGGCTGTAGGTACCGGCATGTCCTGTCTGCACTTGTCCCATACATTCCCATGTAGGTGGAGGCGACCTGTAATTACTCCGTATCTCCCACGCGTTTTTTCGACCTGTTATTCATTACATATGGTGATAGATCCCCCCCCCCCCAACCCCCTCTGTATTTTCTCAAGGGTTGCCAGCTGGGATACAGATTAAAAAAAAAAAAAAAAAGAAGAAGAAAGAAAGAGAAAGAAAAATGCTGCTGAAAAACAAGCACCCTTTTTTGGTTTGTGTCAGCCGTCTCCTAGCAACGCGTGATGCCACTTCCAGGCCTCGTGATTAGTGCGGGACACGCAACAGAGAGGTTCAGAGGTTCTGGGCCCCTTTGCGTGTCAGGTGATAACTGTGGCTCAGTTTGTAGCAACAACTTCAAACCAGCCCTTTAAAGGTAAATCCATCCTATATCATCAGCACCTAATAATTTTTAATTTAGTGCATAGGACAAGTTACATGTTCCAAGGTCAAACCCCTCAGAGAGGAACATACCCTGCTTACAAACATGGATTAACAAGTATTTCCAAAATGTTACTATACTGCATGGTGTTATAACTGTCATTATTATTGTTTATATTATACAAGTTCAGTGTAGAACATGAATAGGAAAAGTGACTGTTATGAAGTCCGTCCCAGGACTCTGACCGGCGAGCTCTGGTGTTTTTGCTTAGTCCTGGTTACGGTCAAGGGCTATTAAATGTTGAACAAGTCACTTGTCTTGTGACGGGTTATGTAAAGGATTAATCAGTTTTGACACGTTCTAGTGCTTGGATCATGTGTCTGGTGGAGTGGCGGTGGCTGAGGGGGGCGGGGCTGCTTGGTGAAGAATGCAGCATGTCATCTGGTTGGAGAAGACAGAGGCTGTTG